GGTGGGAGCGGAGCCGGGCGGCGGAGATGTCGGTGCCGGTGTCCGCGAGCACCCTGCCCATGCGGCTGCTCCGCAGGAAGATCCACAAGCGCAACCTGAAGCTGCGGGAGCGCAACCTGAAGCTGCGGGAGCGCAACCTGAAGCTGCGGGCGGCCGAGGCGGCAGGTACGGGCGGGCGGGCCTGCGGAGCCTCTCCTCGGCGGAGCCGTCACTGACTTTATGGGTTTTTTTTCCTTTTCTTTCTCTCTCCGAAACGTGACTCCGCGCCGTGCAGTGCCCGCGCCCGGCGAGGCGGCGTCGCAGGGCCCCCCGGAGGAGGAGGAGTTGGAGAAGACGGCAGCGGCCTCCGAGGTGGACGCGGCCTCGGAGGGCGCGGATGCTGCCGGCCCCCGCGGCGCGGAGGTGAAGAGGAGGAAGAAGAAGAAGAAGAAGAGGAAAGCGGCGGCGGATGCGGAAGGTGGTACGTTGTCTTAAAACAAATACAGCCTGTCTCCCGGGGCTGAGTTGTTCTTGGAGATCCTGTCTCCCCTCCCTGTCGGAGGGAATTTGTCGGCTGGATTGAGAGAAGTAGCAGGGGTTGGCCTGCGGTACGTTTTAACGCCCTGGAGGTTTAGAGTCTTACCTGTTTTTTTATTCCAGCGGTAACATTTGAATTTTAATATGTACTAAACCCCTAGCAACCAATTTAATTATTACTTAGGATACTGCTTTGTAACATTAAGTTTAGATGTTTAGCTTGTTCTTTATATAGATGATATAGACTGTTTTTCAAAGTAGAGAGCTGTGACAGATGGATGGTTTCTGTCCCTGCATGTCCAGCCAGTATGTCTTGTTAGTAACACATCCAACCTTTAGCAACATCTGTATATTATGAAACAAAAGTATACGGGGAAACTACCTCAAAAAATTGCATCCTGCAAATATTGCTGGATTTTTGTATATTTTCATACATGTATATACACACATATATTTTTTTATATATTGGAAATTTCTCTCTCTTACATGTTTGATCTCTGTGATGTATCTCATGGTTATGCAAAAAAACAGGTGTTTTCATGCAGCTCTCTGAGGATTCAGGTACTTAGAACAGAACAGACATTGCATTTCACATGACCCGAGTGCAAACCATGTTGGTAACTTGATGTCTGCATTACAGATAGGAAGGAGTTTTGTAAATTCTTTCTCATTTCAACAGAAAATCTTATATCCTGTACATTAAGTTTCACTGTTGTACAGAGTGGATGGTGTACAAGGAACTTCAGAGTTCTTTGCTCCCTGCCTCAGAAAGTTTCGTAGAAACTTTGTCTGCCCTTCTTTCACCCCATGAAAAAAGCATGACATTTGTGAGTGGTTTACAGAGTGAAGGAATTCACTCTCTGCCACAGCTTTTAGTGGTGAACGTGTCCTTCATGTCTCTAACTGACTTGTCTTCTGTAAAATAACACTCTAGATACAGAAACTAAAAAAGCAAAAACTGAAGAAGATGAATCTCTGGAGGTAGAAGATGAAGCAAAGAAGGATTCTGGAGAGAAAGTAGAAGAGGATGAGGGGGGGGAGGAGGAGGAGGATGAAGTGCCCAGTTTACCACTAGGTGTAACAGGTACCTTGTGTTCTCTTTTTCATGTGTGCAAAAATCCAAGGTCTAACGCTTTCTTCCAGAGCAAGTTGCAGTTTTCAGATCAGCTTTATAACTCAGGTGTGTGAATTTAGGTGGCACGAAGCTGGCAGCTGTACAGCTATTACTGAGTTTCTGTTCCTTAAAATTTTCATTATGTACACACTCCTATTAGTCTTAAAATTACTAGTGAAAATCTCTTTTAAAATATATACACACACATGTTTGTGGAGGAAAATCCAACGAAGAGCAAGATGGAGGTGTATGACTAGTAAATTTGGCAGGAGAAGCAGTTCATTTTTAACAGCTCTGTGTAGAACTGTTAGGAATGCATTAATACAGAATATTTTGTTGGTATCCAGATTTTATGGTAGGAAGGAATAAGAAAAAATTCTCTGATTATGTTTTCATCTGGGTCTGGGTAATCTCAGAGGACAGCTGGAATTGAAGACATAAGTTTCAACATTTTTTTATTTTCCCCCCTCACTTCAGGTGCTTTTGAAGACAATTCATTTAATTCTCTGGTTGGTCTTGTCAGTGAGAATACACTGAAAGGCATAAATGACATGGGTTTTACACACATGACTGAAATTCAGCATAAAAGTATTAAGCCACTTCTGGAAGGCAGGTAAGAAATACATCTTTTTAGTCTCTATATTGACCCCAAATGTGTAAATTTTGCTAGCAAGCTAAATACATGAGATGTGACTTTGTGCAGCTAAACTTTTTTTTTTAAATATGTTCTTATATGTTTTATATATTTTGTTTATAAGCATTAATACGAGTTAATAAAGTATATCTGTGTTGCATGCAAACAGATACTTAGGATAAGCTCATGAAAACTGCTTTGCATTTGCCTTAGAAAGCAGGGAAGTCTGTTTTCATTGGTCTTGTCAGTGTGTCTCAAAGACTGTCTCACAGTCACTGGAGATGTAGTGACTGATTGCTGTGGGCCCCATCTGCCACCAAGCTCTTAATACCAACTCTACTGGTTTCCTTTAAGCTGTGTTAGTGTTTTTACATTGTCTATGTTGTTCAGAATAGTATTGCTCTTTTGTCTGTGTGATAAACTAAATCCTTCTTTTTCTAACTTTGCTGCATACAGGGATATTTTAGCAGCTGCAAAAACAGGCAGTGGCAAAACACTTGCATTTCTTATTCCTGCAGTAGAGCTCATCTACAAGCTAAAATTCATGCCTAGAAATGGTAAGGCTCTTCATTTCACAGTTGAATTTTACTTTGGTGCAGCCATTTAGGGATCTGGCTAGGAGGGGGATTGGACACGTTGTAACTTGTCTGCTTGATGTATTTTTAGGAACAGGTGTTATTATTCTTTCTCCTACTCGAGAGCTTGCTATGCAAACCTATGGAGTTCTGAAAGAACTTATGAATCATCATGTTCACACCTATGGTCTGATAATGGGAGGCAGTAACAGATCAGCAGAAGCACAGAAACTTGGAAATGGAATCAACATCATTGTAGCAACACCGGGAAGACTGCTGGATCATATGCAGGTAGATAAAATATTGATGTCTAATCTGAATTATTAAAAGATAATAAAACTCCTGTCCTTGTCTGACTCTGAATTTTTTAATCTTCTAGAACACTCCAGGTTTCATGTATAAAAACTTGCAGTGTTTGGTAATTGATGAGGCGGATCGTATCTTGGAGGTCGGATTTGAAGAAGAAATGAAACAGATCATAAAACTTCTACCAAGTAAGAAAGAGAAAAAGTCTTTTCTGGAAATCACTTGACTAACATTATGTCTTCTTTATGACTCAATTATTATAAGAGAAGTCATTAATTTTTATAGTTCTGTAAATGCACTTCAGAGTGATTGTCTTACTCTGTCCTTTTTTTTCTGATAGCTAGTATATATCTGAAAGAGGGTTTTCATAGGCACTTTAGGAATATAATTCGGTTCATATAAGATCCTTCTAGTTTAACATCTGTGTTCTCTCATTCATCTTCCTCTGTTCGTTTATTTCCTACAATTCATTATTTCCTAATGAGGCTTAAATATAAAGAGAAAAGTCTTCTGACTTCAGTTTGAATTTTCTTCATTCCTCCAAGAACAGTAACTTAAAGACTTTTAAGTATTTACCTTAAAATTTTCTTTTCCTAATTTTTCATTTAGTTATTCCTTGTAATTGATGTATTAAACACATTCTCAGAGTCAACAAAGCTCTCCCTTTAACTCTCAACATGCAGAAACCTCTCCTCCATGGAAATAGTATATAAAAAGTCAGTGATAAATATTTTGAGGTTCTGCATCTTAAATATTCAGATCTGCATGTTTAGATTTATATATCTGCATTTTAATAAATAACATCCTGTCAAGATTGTTAATAAACAGTGCTAAAACCTGAAGGGGAAGGAAGAGTGGGAAAACAACATATTTATTGTAAGGTGGAAAATGATAGATAAAAGAAATTTTTACTTTGTGTAAGTTTGATTTGGTTTTGTCCTGTTAGAAAAGAAATTATATTTTAAAACAAACACTTCAAAATAGGAGAAAAAAATATGGTGGCACTGGTTGTTCAGCAAGAACAATTGCTACTGTTCTTGCAGTTGTGTAATGGAACAAGCTAAGTGCATTTTTCCATGTACTCATGTAACAAGAAAATGTTACAGGATCAGGATATATATTTGAGCTGAGAGATGAGTCAGGCAAGAGATTTCCTACCCCTGCTCAAAGAGCATGGAAGTCACTGAGGCTCAGTACAGATGTACTGCCACGTGACTAAAAAAAGCATGCACAAATGTGTATGTTCTAGACTGATTCTGCACGTTAGTTTTGGTGTTTTCTTGCACAATCTCTAGCATGATTCTTCTCCTAAATAAAAACATTGTAATATTCATGGGAACGAAGTCCATTTATAGTTAGAATTTACAAGACCGGTCTCTATTTAAATCATTGTTTTGTGTCTACATTGGAGTGCAAATGATTACTAACATTTTCCCAGAGAGAAGGAATACTGTGTTTTGATAGCTGTTAGGACTTCGGGGGTGGAGGCAACCTAAATAAACATCCTGTACAATCCCTAATACAAATACACCTGTCTGTCAGTAGTAGTATGTTTGAATTAGAATTTAGTTGAAAACAGTGGAAGGCTTGCTCAGGGAAGTTTGCAGCTAGAGATTTTATGGACTTGCTATTTGAATTCTCCTTTAAAAAAAGAGGTTGTCTTTCAAAATAAATATTTTTTCAGAGCGCAGACAGTCAATGCTTTTTTCTGCCACACAAACCAGAAAGGTTGAAGATCTGGCAAAGATCTCTCTGAAGAAAGAGCCACTATACGTTGGGGTTGATGATAACAAGGAGACAGCAACAGTAGATGGTCTTGAACAGGTAAAACTCAAATGTTATTGAAAGGCCACACCAAGTTCTGTGTGTTTTTAACTGGGTTGTACAAACGCTATCTTAAAGGGTGCCTACCATCCTAATGGACAAAAGCTATCAGTTGCTTAAAGGGCTTTTTTCAGTCTGCTAACTAAAGTACATTACAAGCGTCTAGTCAATGTTTGCTGGACAGATGAAATAAAATCTCATGAAATAGTGATACAGTTACTTGCAGTTGACTATTTCTATCTGTATTACATACCTAAGCTCCAATATATACTACATACATAAACTCCCGTTGTCTTTCTAACTTTATTTTCCATGTTACTGACTAGATATATACTTCAGATAGAATTCATTGTTGATGCTTCAGACAATAGCTAAATCAGTTTCTGTGTTTGTACAGTTGACATGATGAGTCTTGTTACAAAAATTACTAGTAGCTGTATATTACCTAAAAAGAGTAAACCAGTAGCAAGATCTGCATAAAATAAAATTCTTGAAATCATAAAAAAATTAGTAACCCTATGCAGTTTTGTTCATGACTAACATCAGTAATTTAGAGTTCTTGAAATGCATTTTTATTGTATAAGCTAATTACTTTTCACTGAACTTAGAGTAGTTTGGAGACTTACTTGAAGAAGTAATTTTTAATTTAGTATAAGTTTCTTGCTAAGTTCATAATCTTTAGGAGTTTCATATACCAAGGTGAGGTACAGATGATAAATCAAATGGTTTGGTCCAATACAGCTGGAAAAATTAACTGTCTGGCATATTTGTTTAACAACATAACACTTCCCTGGTTTAATTGTACTGCTGAAAGAAAAGTTTGTTCCATACTACTCCATTTAACATTGTTTAAAAATTTTCCAGGGGTATGTAGTGTGTCCATCTGAAAAAAGATTCCTTTTGCTCTTCACATTCCTCAAGAAGAACCGGAAGAAGAAACTAATGGTATTTTTTTCTTCATGTATGTCAGTGAAGTACCACTATGAATTACTCAACTATATTGATCTGCCTGTTCTGGCCATTCATGTAAGTATTTTATTCATTGATTTATTTTTAATTAATCTGATAGTACCTGTAAGTTGTTACCAACCTTACATTTGCCTTGTTTATTTCAGTCCAGTTTCTAATAAACAGACACCCTACTCACAAATTGATAGTGATCTTGATTAGTCTGTAGAGGAAGGGGACAAAGCAAAGACGCTAATAACACTTCAGTATTGTTAATCTTGGTATTTTCCGAACTAAGGCAGAACACTGATATTAGTTTATGTTCTGTGTGTAGAAACTTTCTGTTTTCTTCCAAGGGGTTGCCTTTCACAAGCACTAAAACTCGAGTCGTGGAGCAAATATTGCCAGAGGAATCTAAGCACTCTGATTCCTGAAGTGGTGGGTGCTTTTTCTAAGGCCAGGGTGTCTTTGGTTTTATGCCAATTCTTACCATTTGGATGAGTATTTTAATTTTGTTGTCAAAACCACAAAATTTATAGTTTAGGAGAAAGAGTTGACTGAAAATGTATAAAACAGAACTGACTACAAATGTCCTGGTTTGTTTTGTTCTTCGGGGAATTTTTTTGATATATTTTGATAGAACTGTTACAAGTATGGTGTTGGTTGTATTTTTTTAATTTGTAATCTAACATATTACTAGACTTGAAAATGTCCTTTTACTGAATGTCAGGCATTTATGCACCCCTCCTGAGAATAATGCTTATGCAACAAAATTTTTAATGCTTTGGAAAGTACAGTGTAACCTCTGAGAGATCCCACTTAGGTAGCCCTGTGTTGTTGGCTGTGGTGGCATTATTTCTTCACTGCAGAATGGTCCTGCTTGGTCTGTACTAGTCCATGATACGGAAAGATGCCCCAAATTATTTGGTATTTTTGGCAGTGGTATAATATGTGAAATGTGAAATTAGATTTAAGCTTACAAATTGGCAGATTTTTTTAAAGGTCTTTTTTTTTTTTAGTTGATATTTCATCCTTAATGTGTTTTGTTTTCCTTTTAGGGCAAACAGAAACAAACCAAACGTACTACAACGTTTTTTCAGTTCTGTAATGCAGAATCTGGAATACTGTTGTGCACTGATGTAGCTGCCAGAGGATTGGATATTCCTGAAGTTGACTGGATTGTCCAGTATGACCCTCCAGATGATCCAAAAGTAAGTTAAGGAAATAAAGAAACTTCACAGCAACAAATCAAATCGTATCTATAAACATAATTGCAAAGAAAAGCTGAAACTGCTGCTTGACAGCGGATAGGATTCAGCTGTGCTCGTATCTAGCCACCGATTTCTTCCACTTCCCTTCACCAGCTCCTAGGACATGCTACACATAGCCGAGACCTTCGTTACCTTTATAGAGTTGCTTTTTAAAACGTTATTCTTTGTGCTGTTAATTTAAAATCTAATCAGCTAAATAACAAAACACTTCTCAGGAGGATTGTGAGTTTATGTATGCATCTCTGTGTCTCCTAACAGCTTTTTCAGTGGAAATCTGATTTTTATTTAAAACACAGTATTCTTATTTGAATGTGTCCAGTGTAAACAATTGAAACTCAGAAAACTCAGAAATATACACAGCAAATATAATTTTCATTTACAGCAGACTAAGAATATTTTCCTTTGGTAGAAGATAAAATACTTTTATTCAGGAGTTCTGTCTCATCTAATTATCCATTGCATCTTCAGCACTTGGCTTCCCTTATCTATTTGTCAGTAGTAAGAAAAAGTCTTAAAAAATAATGTATGATGCATTACACTACATTAATACTGGATTTGGGGTGGGGCTGTTTGATTATTACATGTTTGGAAGACTGATTGGACTTGCTGTTTTTTATTCTTTCGAAAAGGAATATATTCATCGTGTTGGTCGAACTGCCAGAGGCATAAATGGTAGAGGACATGCTCTGCTCATTTTGCGACCAGAAGAATTGGGCTTTCTTCGTTACCTAAAACAAGCCAGGGTAAACTTAACATTTAGATTTATATATTTTTTTTTAAACTGTGCAACAGGTTTATAAACACAAAAACTGTACTTATTAATCACTTTTAATTTTTTAGCAAAAAACATTCTGTTGCTTAGAAAATGTTTCACTGAACATCTGACTTTTAAGTCTAAAGTCAGCAGCATGAAAGTAAATATTGAGTGTAATTATAATTGTTCTGCAACTGTGCAACTTGTGTTACTGAAAAATAATAATATCCTATGACCTTCCTGTGGAAGGATACTGGGAGTTTGACCATCCAGATAAAATTGAAATCCAGATGTTGTGCAGTTTTTATTTTTTCTATGCAAAGAGTCAATTGCATTTTGTTCAGTTCCAAAAGAAGGGTAACCTTCTTCTAAATGTAATCATTTTAATAGGATAGGACTGCACATAGTTTCTTGGTTGCTTTCTTTATGGGCTTGTTTACACACAGAGTTTTGCCACTTTTAACTAAAGTGGTGTAGCTTGTAAAGCAAAAGCTAAAGTGTTAAGTGTCATAATGAGCATCTTTATGACTCTAGCTTACTGGCATATTGAGTTAAATGCACTTTACAGATACAGCTGTGGTATTAAACCAAAAATATCTGTTACCTAGCAGGTCTTTTTCTATTTGTCTTAGGAAATGCATTCACTATTTACACAGTGTAAACATTTTTGATTTTTTTTTTTTCTTTTAAAGGTTCCATTAAGCGAATTTGAATTTTCTTGGTCAAAAATTTCAGACATCCAGTCTCAGGTATGAAATGACTACATACTACAGCTACTCAGAATATACATATAATAATTTACATGGAGAATGTGAGTCTATAACGACTGCAGTTTAAAAATATATATGCTTGTTTGGGAAAGTTCCTGTAGATGAGTACTGTGCGGTAAATTCTCCTGTCATATTGTTCCTTGATGACAGTAAATTGATAAAATGTTCAGAAGTTCAAGATTAGTATCTACTACTAAATTGTCATTATATGGTACACATTTGCTGGTAAGACTTTTTTTGCATTGCATCATAGAACCACAGTGATGTAAACCTGCTTTCAGGTTTTGAACAGAATGTTCTTGTCTGGCATAGCAAGGGGAGTTTGGGTAGCTTTTATGTATGTTCAGATTAATTGTGAGTAGCATATGTCTTATAAAGTGATTTACTCAGACTTCAGTGTGCAGAAAGACATCCAGTACTAACACTTAGAGGTGTTAGTATACAGTCCAGGTGTATTTTTAACTAGCGGGTGTTAATAAAGCCTAGAATTGGCTAAACCTGTTTTGTGCTGCAGTGCTACAAAAATAGCTGTGGAGCACAAAGTAGAACAGAATAGCGCAGGTAGTTCTGTAGATGTGAATTTCTATTATTTAGTTCTGTGAATCATTCTTTTGATAAGAGCTCTATAAAGCTTCTTTGCAGTAACAAATTTGAAGTACAAGAAGCAATGAAGACAGTCCTTCCAGAAAGAGGTTCCTAGTTAAGAATAATTAGGAAGTAATGATACCTAATGTAACTTATTTTTAGTATGCTGATGTTAAACATCAAATGAGACGCTTGAATCTAAAGAGCGTTGGGAACTTAGCCCACAACACATAAAATGTCTCAGGCTCCACTAGTGCATCTGCATTTTTGTCTCAGAATTAATACTGCTTATTTTGCATTTGCACCATAGTAGATAAGACTATATAGAATTACATGGAATAGTACAGTTTAGATGTCTGACTTAAAAGTATAAGGTCATCGTCCATTAATATTCAATGCACGTAGTTTCAGGGTGTGGCTGCAGCTGTATACTCCTTCTTGATTAACTTGTTTGGGACAACCCAATTTAATAGTTCCGTAAATTTTCATATTGCTGAGGATTTGTACTGTAATTCAGCTTCGGGCATTTTTGTCCCTCTGTTTATAAAAGCACTCTGATATATGTATTTGCACTCTACTGTCACAGGGCAATTTTTCTGAAATGAATGTCACTGTAACTCTCACAGTAAATAATCTGCTTCAATATAATTTATACACTTGTTCTAGCTATAATTGGATATGTCTTTTGTTTTGTGTTTTTTTTATTTTATTTTCCCTCACCAGCTGGAAAAACTGATTGAGAAGAACTACTTCCTTCACAAGTCGGCCCAGGAAGCATACAAAGCTTACATTAGAGCTTATGACTCCCATTCTCTGAAGCAGATCTACAATGTCAATAACCTGGATCTTCCCAAAGTCAGCCTTTCCTTTGGTTTTAAAGTTCCTCCGTTTGTTGACCTCAGTATCCTTTTACTGCAGTGTTTCAAAGCTGAATTTCTGTGTTACAAATGTTAAATGAAGCTTACTGAAGCTCCTATGCTACTTCAAATTCTGATTTTTAAAAATTTTTTTTTTGGCTGTTAATCATATAAATACATCATGCTCCAACAATAGTTTATCAAAGAAAATGCTAAAAGCAAATATAAAAACTGCAGAAATTGCCTACAGACAGCTACGTTCTAGTGCACGTACATGCTGTATGTGCTTCTGTTGCTGGAATGCATATATGCATACATGTTCTAGAGTACTGTTCTCCATGCAAAATTATTTTCATTAAAAGGTAAGTTCTTAAGTTAATAATCATGGAATACTGAAATAGAGGGGTAAGAGCATGAAATAGAAGACTGTACCTAATTACTGCCAAACCCACTAGTGGATGGAATTTGAAGCGGTAGTACTTTGGCCAACTTAGTTGGACAACTGCAGGAATAAAAGCATTATTTAGAACCACGGGCACAAAGTTCTAGTTTTGTCTGTAGTTAGCACCTCAACTTTTTGTGTAATGCTGCTATTTTTTCCTCACATTAATAACCCTTAAAATACCTAAAAAAGCAACATTTCATATTATTCTTTGAGTTCTTTAACCAATAAAATTTCAGATGTGCACAGCAATCATGGCAGAAGACTACAGAAAAGAGGTGGAGGTGGGGGATTTGGTTACCAGAAATCGAAGAACGTCCACAAAGCTAAAATCTTCAAACATATTAGCAAGAAATCAGACAGTCGACAATTTTCTCGTTAATCGTACATTCATTAAAATGGCTTGTGGCATTGGAATAGACTACCTTGATCAAAACCATCTGGCAATTACTTCCAATTTAAACTGCTCTGCTCACATTTGTCAGGGTCTTTATGGTTTTGTTTCTAGGAGCATCTTTTATCTTTCAATTCAGAAAGACTCTGGAAGGGAGACTAAAAATAGGAAAGTGGAATATGGCCAGCTAGTTTTGCGATACTTGTAAGGAAAAAAGATAGTTGAATATTTTAAGTCAATTATATGGAGTTTTTTATTAAAGACAAAATACTGGTTTTATAGGATAATTTGCTTTACATTTACCCTTTTTTCTATGCACACCTCTACAGATTGTTGGAGTAGACAACGCAAGAACAGATTGCAGTGAAATAAAAAAAAAATCTTGCTCACATGAATCACTGCATGGGTCTTTAGTACTTCAAAACTCTGGTTTGTCCATCTGATCTGCTGAAGAACATAGAAAGTTTTCTTTAAAACAGAACATATCTGTGAATAACTAAGGCTATATGAACATGTGATTAATTTCAGTCATGGTATCTGTATAACGAGTATAGTGTCCCAACATTGAAAAAAAAAAAATCCCTTATGTCACATCTGGGATATATTTAGTACTGTTTCTTGTAATGTTGTGATAAAATGGTAACATGCTATTTGAAATGTGTGGGTTTTCTTCATGTTCTCTTTATATCTGAATTTATCCATCTGGTAATGTCTAATGTACCATTATGAATAGGCAAAGAAAATTAACAAAAAGATTATATAAATTGAAGCACTCAGCCCAGATAATGTTTTTTAAAAAACATCTATAACGTCGATGCTGTGAGAATTTTTGCAGTTGTATCTTGTAAATTACAAAAGTCAATTGCTTTTTAGTCTTAATTTATCAGATCAGTGATGGGCAAAGTCAAAAATACTACCACAGGATTGAGGGGGTGGAGAGACTTGATATGTGAAAAAGTGAAATGGGATATAAATATACTAGAAGGATATTTTAAGGGAGAAATATAAAAGCCTGAAATAGAAGAGGGTGGAATACATATAGCAAACAGAACAAACACAGAGACTAAGTACAAAAAGAATACAGAAGTTGGGCAAAAGTAGAATAACTACATTATGTATATTAGTTTCATATCTCTTACCATTTTAGTAGGTAACAATTCTTATGAAGCAACAGTGGTGGTGGGCAATAGTATTTCAAAAATGTACATCTGTCAATGCAGGGAAAGACTAAAATGTCACAGAATCCTGAAATCTGGGCCCAGTGTGATTACATTAAGACAGCTTTTAATTTACATCTGAAACGTAACCCAGGACCAACTATGAATCCAAAAGCATATGTAATTATTCTGATATAAAATGGACTGTTATTCCTTAGGTCTTTTGAAGTAGCATGTCAGATTTAAAATTATGATACTTGCACTGAAGTATTGCAGAAAAACATTGGCATACTTCCTTTTCACCCTTAGAGAAACAAGATCATTTTTTTGGGAAAACAGTACAACCATTCGTTGCTAATGCTTCCACCATTCAGAACTGAGTGTTGCCTTTTTTCCCCTTTTTTGTGAAACAGATGACTTTGAGCCCTAATGGACTCTTCAAGATTCTTAATTAACATTAGTCAGATATTAAGAACTATTGATATGACAAAATATTTAGGTAGATTAATTTTGTTACTAGGATTTGAATGTCTCGTGCTTCCAAGGTTGCAATGAAAAAGCAAAATCTGCTCTGAAGGGTAAGCAGTGCTAAGTACATGATGCCTGGCTCATTAAGTTCTAATCTTTGATTCTGTGTTTGTCTATATATTTATAAATAATGGATATCAAAATAGTTCTCGTGTCTGTTCACTAATAGCACATTTTAAGAATTCTGAGATTACAACATCATCTAGTTGAAGGGTTCTGTCTACACCTGCAGGCTCTGCAGTTACTTAAACAGGAATTAATTTATATTATAGTGACGTTAACTCTGAGACTCATTAGATGAACTGCAAAGATGATTACTTGTAAAGAGATGTATGCAAAGCTTCCTGGCTTGCTCAGATGCAGTTACCTTTCTCTTTGTTTATGGAATCACAAATGAAAAATAGTTTCTGATTAAATACCTGTGTGTATTGGGCAGCGTCTATTCTACTATGGTATTGCAAGAAGTTTAAAAGATTGTCAGACTGATTGGAAATCTAACGTTTCCTTTGCAACTTACCCTGCTATCAATCTTGTGAGCAGTTAATAGACCTCAGCCATCAGACTCTCAAGGCTTGTCTCATAACGGTGACTGATAGGTTGGGGACCAATATTGTGTGCCTTGAGAAATTGCCTTCTTTCTCTGAGAACCTTGACAAAGAAATTGGACTCTTTAAACCACTTAAGGGGGTGATCAAAACTGTCCTGCTTGAACTGGAAGATTTTTTTGACAGTTCTTGGAACAGACCCATAAAGGAGAATTCCATTGCTGAGCTACTGCTCATAATCATGAAAAATCTTGTCATGAGTTTCCTGTGCCATAACGCTGCCGAGTTACAGACAAGCACAAGACTAGTCAGAAAGTGTTGCCATCAAATTTTTCAGGGTGAGTGTCACAGATAGAGGGCATGTTTATTGACAGTGTAGAGCAGGAATACTGTCTACTTAGGTCTGCTGTAAAGAAGCATGTTTGTGTTTAACAGTAATTAGCCTTTTTGTTTCACATAGGAGTTTGCTCAAAGTAAGCTACCAAAGCTTTAGATAATGCTAATAATTTGCTTTCAAGCCAGTAAGGCTCAGGGGAAGCAAGCTCTCACAGGAAGGGTGAAAAGGACTATGTGATTAAAAATAAATAACATTTTAGTAGAGGTCTCCAATTTCTTCCCCATGTGAAGGAAGGAAGAGTACTGACAGGATACAGCACAGGTCTGTGACTTTTTGATTTTAGTTCTACCACTGTCCTGTTAAGGAGATAGTTCTCCAGTTACTTCAACCTGCCAAAAGTTAGAGGGTCTTTACAGCGATCTAAAAATCTAACAACTGAAAAAGTTAATTACTGGCCCTCAAAAGGTAGGTTGTTTCAGGTTTGGGGTTTTTTTCAAACTAAAATAGCAACACTGAAAGAAGCCTAGAATCAACTGGCCAGGCATGCAGAATAAAATGTCTCTGCTCTTGACTTTTGCTCTACTAGCTTGATTTCCCCTCAGGATTTTAGCTGCTTGGTTTGACAGGAGAGTTCATGCAACTGTTCTTGATGCTTTTGTTTGCTCTAGATTTATAGAAGATGTTGAACTGTGAAAATAAGAATCCAGCCTCTTGAACTGGAATGCTTTTTGCTTCTAAAAAATTTGCTGGCTTGCATCAAAGTCATAAATACTATAATGCTGCTTGTGTCAAATCTCTTTATTGCACAGACACGTGGGGAAGAAATTACCTTTTTTTTTTTTTTCCTCCTCTTAGCCACCACAATAAACTTTTGATATGGAATTGTGAGGAGAGGTAGAGGAAGGATGCTGTTAAGAGACTGGAAGACAAATGGAAAATTGGGGTGCTGTCTAGACACACATTCACTTTGTTATATTGGTGTCATCCAGTTTAAGAACTGCATTCGCCTTTCAAAAAAATATCTGAGCATACTCTACAACAGCAGTTCATCTTCCCAAACACTTCTGTAAACTACAACACTGAAAAACATAGCCACCTACTTTTTTTTTTCCCAGTTAGTCAGAATTAAAAAGGAGAAAATCATAGGCTCTGCAAAGTCTTGTATAACAGTTCCAAAACTACCTCCTATGTTCTTCTCTATCTTGGCTGTCATCTGAAGATATTTAGCCACTCAGAGCTTTCTGAACTCCTCAACTATGAATGTTGACAATTACAAGAACATTAAATATGTTACTCTACATAACCTAGATGTTTATTCCTAGGGGTTGAGAGACCATGTGAATTTGTAGGAGCTATTTAGTCTTCCTTACAAGCTCTGGATAGGAGTTCCTGATATATTGTCACTTCTAATTAAGAAAACTCTGTATGGGAAGAGAAAACAGACTTGAGAAGGAGGTAAGTTCTGCTTAGGACCTCCTTCTAATTGTTAAGGGACCTGAGAATGAACTTATGAAGGTACATAGTAACACTAATACCTACAAAATGTAACTTGAGAGCATAAATGTAACTAAAATGACATTGCTTAAAAAAAAAAAAAAAAAAAAAAGGAAAAATAAAAAAGTAAAGCAACTTCATCTTTCCACTCAAGTTGTATTCAGTGATATCTTTACATTCCTCTCTTAATTGTGGTAGAAGAAAAGCTAGCTAAATGGCTTGTAGTGCTAAAGAGGTTCTTTCATACTAGGAAAGGAATCCTTGACCTGTACTAAGCCCTAGCTGCTGATGGCCTGTAACAAAACTATATGAGTTAAATGAGTATTTAAACACTGTACTATTCACTTCATTGCAAAATTTCGTGAATCTTCTGATGCTTTGCAAGTATATGCTACTGCAACTTTATGTAAATTCTTCATAATTTTTTGTCCCACTTTCTACATAAGTCCATCAGGGGATTATTTGTAAATAAGGATACTTAATAGCACCAATGCTATTGCAGGTGCCAACGAGTCAAGGTGTACAGGTTTTAATTAATGTTAAACTCATTCAAAGAATTCTTTCTATGACTATGAAACTTGTCTATTCAAAAGTATTGCACAGAGAAATAAACCACACGCATACACATTCCAGACTTGTACTCATGGTAAATTCATACCAAGGCCTGGCTTTATGTTCAGATTATAATGGCAGTGGAGTTAATTAGTAGTAATAGGTGGCCCATATGGGGAAGGTTTTGTGAACACTGTCCAAGGAAAGAAGGATGTTTCTACCAAACTTAAGTGTAAAAAGAGTTGGTGAGCAGATTTGATGTGAGCTGGAACAAGAGTCAGGCATTTGGGCACCACAACTTTCTTGGACACCAGTTAGAAATCAATGGATGTGGATTCCTAAATAACTTCGAATATGACACTTTGAAATATTAAAATCCACAAGTGGAAAACCCATGTCTTGTCAAAATAATAATTAAAAAGAAATAAAATCTTGACTCCTCAAGATTGTTAGCAGCAGCAGAAGCTAATAGTCAAGTTCAAACAAATCAGATTTACTCAATTATACACTATTACTTGAGGGATTTTTTTATGTGGCCACTCTAACAGGAGGAAAGCCAAATGTTAGCAAATCTGCTGCTGTATAATTCATTTTGTACTCATGTGTTGGCCTTATCTGTTAACGTACCTGCACATGCCCCTGTGGCAAACCTAATTCATGCAGGTATACAGATCTCTGCTGACTTCCCCTTGTGATTGAAAACCTTGCGCTTAGTGGCTCACATCCTCACAGGTTACATAAAACTGATACTTGAATGGAAATTATCCTGTCAGAATTTGCTCATTAATAAAATCAGTACTAGCTAGTCTTTATGTGACATCTAGATTCTCCATCACATCTGCAATCATAAAATTATGGAAACATCTGTCAAAGGGCTTTTGAGGGCTTGTTTTTCCTTTGAGATCAATTTTTTTTTTTAGGTATTTACCAAATAAATTGCAGGATTTATAGAACTGATTTTTATGAAAAATACTTTATAGAGAAGGCTGGTGTTCTATTAAAGAGCTAACAGAGATGAGAGGATGGACTAAAACTACAGCCACTGGAAGCTCTCATAGGACTTTTGTATCTAAAAAACTGGAAAACGAGTCAAAACAGTCAAGTTCAGTGTAGTTCCTTTATAACAGTCTGAAAATAATCTGTCTCTGTCTCCAACAGATAAAAGCAAACTTGAAAAACGTAAACTATATTTAAATGTTATATGTTTGCTATAAAAAATACAGCATCACTTCACATAATGAGCTGAAATTCTGTTATCTGGATGAATCATCATGCTCCAAAGCTGTTCCTAAGCAGCATGCTGTCCTTGAAAGTGCTTGAAAACAGAGAGCTCTAATGAAGCTGGCCTGGGTAGCTGCTGTCTGGTGAAGACAGGCACTTCTTTAGCACAGCTGTACAAAGGGGAGCTTGGACAGGAATTGTAAGGATGTGGGGAGGGTTAAGCTAAGATAAGTACTTTCAGACTGACAGAAAAAAAAAAAAAAAATATGATGAGACTGAGTCTGAGCAGATTCATTTCAACGTCTGCAGCCAGAAGAGTGAGTTTTGCAGGTGGTGTATGGAAAGGTGGTAAGGACTAGGAAATAGGTTTTGCAGTTCCTCCCCTCTGTCACAAGTCCTTTTCTCAGCAATTCGCAGGCCTCCAGGGAGAAGTGAGAACAGGTGCAAGGGAAGATGTAAGGTATTTCTACTCAGACTTATAAACAGATTACTATTTTCCAACCTTTTGTGTTTTGCATCCCTCAGACTTCTCAGCCCACAAAGCTCCAAACATCCAGATGGAAAGATGATATTTTTTACTTACTGTTAATTCTATCATCTAGCTCCAAGTCCTTAGTCACATATTTATTTACTGATTTTAAGAGCAATGAAACAGTTGGTGATATCAGTTATCTTTTGAGGATACACACTGCCATACCTCGTTGAAAAAAGAAACTATGAAGATGCAAACTGTAGTTTCTGGAGTCATTGAAAAATATCAGTGAATGAAACAAAGGATTTTCAGTGCTTTCATTGCACTTTGGCATGAGAGCAATTTGTTAGTGCTCTAACTGTACTTAAAGTAGACTAGGTCCTCCTTTAGTTTCAGTAGAAGAAGAAAAGTGTGGTTTAGTTTTGTCTCTTTCTTGGTGTTTGGGGTTTTTTTTGGGGGGGTGTTGGTTTTTTTTAATCATGCAATATTTATTTGCTTTTATATTATTTAGAATATGTGAATATATGCAAGTCTCCTCATTTTTTAAAATTCCCTCTTCTCTTTTTCAAAGTGTACCCTGGTTTCTGAGACATTGTAATCTGTTGCCATAGCGATCTTTGAGGAGCACTAAGCCTTTGCATTCACAGGACAAGACAGCAGTGGGGTAATTATCAAGAAAAAAATAAACCCCTTTGAGACTTTTCATGCTTCTGTGCTATGGGACTAGTTTATTTCAGCCAAACAGGAGGAAAAAGTGGGAGATTTCAACACATTTAATGTGTGAACTGGAATGTAACCATCCAGATGTGGGACATAATGTACACATAATAAATGGGAGTAGAGGGATGGGACATATGGATTCCAGGAAAGGAGGGTTTTGGATCATCTAGGCTGCTTTAATGGTGGCCTACACATAGTCTGCAACTCACAAATGAAGTACCCTCACACAAGAAAAAGACAACTTAATTTCCTGCAGGAGCAGGAACGAACAGATCATATCCTGGGCCATTTGGGCCCCTAAACATGAAAGTTTTGCAGTTAGTCTGAGTTGTGTCTGTTGTCTGCAGTCCTTCTTTGATACCTGAGTTATTCAAATGGTGATAAGATTCCATTATTCCTTTATTAGGTTCACAGAACTGGACTGACAATTGTTGAAACATGTAGAAGTGAAAGGGCTTTTTTATCTCTTGCCCTTACTGCTTTTAGGTCTGGGTGCCTTTTAAAGGAATCAAGTGTTTTTCAGTAATTCTCTAGGTGGCATTTAGAAGTGGCATTAACTAACAAAGTGAGACACAAATGAGAAAGGAGCAATATGAAGACAAAGCATGCGAAGCTGCTTGTGAAGCAGTCACATGCTGTCTGACAACACTGACACATTTTTACCAACGTGTAATTGTTTCAGATGCTGCTTTAGGCTTAATCTGCATCAGTAAAATGAATACATTTATTTGCTTTATTGTTCATCTGGTGAGTGAGGAGACGTCCAACAGTTAACCATAAAGTAGCCTGGTTATTCTGATTGCAGCCACTGTCTTTCACTTCTGTAATATTTCATCATTGTTCCAGCTTCTGAAGTTGGATTCCCTGAGTAAGGCAAGCTGGCCCCTGCTTGCTGTGGGTAACGGTGCTGTGAGAGGTTTGTGTTTTGTCAGATAGAGCTGTTTCTTCAGTGAATGTGAATGTAAGTGGAGAACATTGATTTGAGCAGTATTCATTTAGACAGGAGTATTCTGACCCAGAAAGTTCTCCTTCTCTACCTCAAAAATGAGCAACAAATCTCCTGTCCCCAAACTCCGCCCCATTACAGTCTGTGACTGTAGGTGTGCTGCTACTTGCAGGGAAACAAGCTTCACTGACCCTCTTCTTTATTTGCTGACCCTCAACAACTTCAAACCCCTTTCGAGAGTTCTCAGCAGCAGGATATTACCTGGCAAGGTAAAAGAGTCTGTGTTTTGTCCAGTAACTCCCACTGAAATAGTCCTGGTAATGGACTAGAAGGGGAAAAAATGGGGTGGAAATTCTGGGGTAAACGTGTTGTAAAGGACCTCAGGAATGAAAGCAGGCTGGGATAAAGGATACCTCCCAAAGATCTTAAATATAATAACTTAAAACACACCTTAAATATAATTCCCAGGTTGCTATATGATCCTGCCCCCCTTTTACTCAGGAAGTGTAAAAGCTCATTGCTGTGTCCCCTTTATGCCTACCACCCTGTTAACTTCTATTAGAGATTTAAAAGATGTCGTGTAACAGGTTTAAAATAATTTTTGAAACATCTTGATTTGAGGGTGGTTACTGGACAGGGCCAGGAGAAAGGTGCGTATTCAGAGGCTGGGCACATGCCTGTGCCAGAAACAGACGCGAAGATGGAGATGTTCCCGGCCACTTAAAAAAAAAAAAAAGAGAGAATTACAGAGCTTGTTGTTGTTGTTTAACTGGAAAATTTCCCATTTGAACGCTGCAGCCCAGAAGTAACTCGTGCTCAGCGCTGGAACCGTCCCCGACCCGCGCAGGCAGCGCCCGGCGGCGGCGGGCAGGGG